TATAAATGAGAAAAACATACAGAGCCTGCCTCATAAGTTGTTGTGAGAATTAAATTAGTTATTATCTGCCAAGTGAAAACTGCCTTACATATATTAAATGTTCATAAAATGTCAGCAAGTATCATTTTAGGTGTATTTCAGAATTTGTTTATAAAATAACAAAGTTGCCACATCTACCACATAGGAACCAATACCAATAAAGCACATGAAAGTACTCTGTTAACAGTGAAACATGCATGTTGCTACCATCACCAACAGCCTATCCCATCAACATCTGTTGGAGTTGTATTTCCTGATTTTATACTGTATGTGTAGACTAAAGATTTGTAATAACTGAGTATGCTGATAAGGGTCACCTTATTCAAATGAGTAGGATAATATTAAATCTACTGAGAGTAAATTCCAGAAAGACAACATATTAAACAAATCACCACTAACTTAATACACTGCTAAGGGCCAACTAAAACTTGAATTCATGTATAACTATTGTCTTTCAAAAAATGTAGATGAGTTTTACTATTTCCAGAAAAATTAAGCTCAGTACCAGATTGAGGCAGTTTTAATATTTATTCTTTGCATGATTTAGTTTCATTATAGGTTTTTATCATGAAAAATTATTGAGTTTAAACAAATACTTTTTCTGCACGTGTTGAAGTGATCACATGGTTTTATTTCTTTAGTTTATTGATATGATGAGTTAATTCTGTTTTTGTTGTTGTTGTTTTTTCCTTTTGTGACTGTCCTAAGGCTTGAGCTAAGGGATTAGATACTGTCCCTGAGTTTTTCTGTTCAAGGCTAGTGCCCTACGACTTGAGCCACAGTTTAACTTTCAGCTTTTTGGTGGTTAATTGGAGAGAAGAGTTCTACAGACATTACTGCATGGACTAGCCTCAACCATGATCCTCAGATCTCAGCCTCCTGAGGAGCTAGAATTACGAGTATGAGCCACTGGTGTCTGGCTAGATATTTAGTTTTTTAAGGGTGATCCAGCTCCTGTTCCTGGAATAAATTATACTTGATCCTGATATCTTTATTACTCCTCTGATATACAGTTAGATTTGCTATTATTAAGGATTTCTGCACTTATGTCCATGAGCAACCTATAACCCTCTGAGATTAATCTTGGTCTCTGGTTTGATTTCCTCCCTAAATCTCTGTTGGAATGTGGCTATGCCCACTGGCTTATATATTGCCTACAATGTAACAGCACAGTTGAGTATATACCTGGAATCAGAGTAAGTTCTCTGTTTTGCTTACCTACAATGTCTCTATTTTGCTTTTAGTTTTGAATTATTTTGTAGAAAGATCTGGGTTAGCAAGATTTTTTTTTCTACCACAGCATTTAAAGGTATCACTTCATTATTAGGCTTTCATTGCTTCTGCCTAGAAGATTCCTGTCATTATCGATCTCTGTTGTATAAACACTGTATATAATGTTTTTCTTTTCTCTGGCTGCATTCAAAGTCTACATTGTATTTTCTCTCAAAAAAAATTTTTTTTTTCATTGTGGGATTTGAACTCAGGGCTTGGCCACTGTCCCTGAACAATTTTTGCTCAAGAATAGCACTGTACCACTTGGGCCACAGTATCACATTCAATTTGGAGTGGTTAACTGGAGATAAGAACCTCACAGGAACTTTTCTGCCTGGGCTGGCTTTGAACTGTGATCCTCAGATCTCAGCCTCCTGAGTAGCTAGGATTATCGGTGTGAGCCACTAGCACCCAGTTCTTTCTAATATTTAAATTCTCTGTCTCTGCATTTGCAGATGGACTTATCCTGATAGAAGCTCTAAGATTTGTGGATCTATTGTTTGAAAACTTTCAGTATTAAAAATTCTCAGCCATTATTTCCTCTGATCTGTTTTTCTTTTCCTTTTGATACTCCAATTATATGTAAGTTAGATCATTTGACATCATCTTACAGTTCTGTGTTCTCATTTTTACATTGCATTTGCATAATTTCTTTTTGCTTTTGTTGGTCGTGGGGCTTGAATTCTGAGCCTGGGCAATGTTCTTCAGCTCTTCAGCTCAAGGCTAGCGCTCTACCACTTGAGCCACAGCACCACTTCCAGTTTTCTTGGAGATAAGAGTCTCATGGACTTTCCTGCCCGGGTTGGCTCCGAACCCAATCCTCAGATCTCAACCTCCTGAGTAGCTAGGATTACAGCTGTGAGCCACCAGCACCTAGCTACAGTTGCATAATTTCTATCAAACTACCCTCAAAATCATAGATTTTTTTTCCCTTCCTTAACTACACTCAAGCTTCCCAATGAGTCACAGTAATTTTCAGTCACAGTAACTCTTAGTCTGTCATATATTTTTTCTTATAGTTTTCATCTTTCTCTAAAATTCACTATGTGTTTATGCATATTATCCCTATTCTATTGGGTCAAGCAATGACAATTTTTTTTTTTGGGGTCCGGTCGTGGGGCCTGAACTCTGGGCCTGGGCGCTGTCCCTCAGCTCTTCAGCTCAAGGCTAGCGCTCTAGCACTTGAGCCACAGCGCCACTTCCAGCTTTTTTCTTTTTTTGCTTATGAGGTGCTGAGGAATCGAACCCAGGGCCTCAGGCAAGTGCTCTACCACTGAGCCACTTTCCCAGCCCGAAAATTTTTTTTTTTTTTCTGAAAAGAACCAGGTAGAAAATTGTTTTAGGCACTCTCATTCATAATATAGTTTCGGCTACATATGATATTCTTTTTAAAACAACTCTTTAAAAATGCAGAAGGTAGTCATAGTTTACTTGTTGCACAAAGGCAAATCATAGGCTGGTTTTGGCCAATGGATTTTATACTTTGTTCAGCTCGTCTAAGCAAACATTTTAACTCTAAGTAGTCATACTTAAATTCTCTGTCTAGTAGTTCCAACATCTGAATCATCACTGAGAATCTAGTTTTGCTATCTCTTGACAATGATTCTTCTTTGAATTTTTATTTATTTTACTTTTTATAATTTTTTGTTATTATAAAGATGGTATACAGAGGGATTACAGTTACAAGTCAGGTAATGAGCACATTTCTTTTTGACAGTGTCACCCATGATTCTTTTCTCTTTTCTTTCCCTCCCTCCCTCTCTCCCTCCCTCCCTCTCTCCTTCTCTCCCTCCCTCCCTCCTCCCTTTCCTTCTTCCCTCCCTCCCTCCCTCCCTCTCTCCCTCTCTCTCTTTCTTCTTTCTTTCTTCTCATTGTGTTCGGCTGACAAGCAGATTCCTGTCAGATACTGAGAAATGAACACATCTCTTCTTGGGTCAGGCTTGACATGAGCTAATTTTCATAGAAGATTACTGGTATGTGCATCATAACCTTTAAGGGCCTTAAATACTATACATTTTTCAGTACTAACACTACACTCTACTTTTGATTATCTTTGTATGCCTGGGTCACAAAGCAGGATCTGAAATGCCTATTCTTAGGTGAGTATCTTTGGTCTAATTAGACCAAAGATTAGATACCTGATTAGACACCAGGAGTGTCCTAATCATAAAAGGCTAGAGTTGGCATCAGGTTAATTTGAAAGAATAAAAGAACATATATATGTGTGTATATTTACACACATACCATATATATACATATATACATATATATACATATATACATACACACTATATATATATGTATCTCACCTACAGGGTTTTGTTTTTCTTGGGAATCCTTAGGGTAGTTTGGGGTTTCTGGTTCCTTGAAATGCTAGCTCAAATTCAAGAGAATAGCAATCCTAGCTTAGAAACCAACACTCTTGATCATCACAGAATTTGTAAAGGATGTGTCTGGTTATTTCACTAAGTATATCAGGTAAGTTCAGTTAACAAGGACATGGAGCCGGAAAAAGTTTTTTGTTTTTTTTTGGGTCCAGTCGTGGGGCCTGAACTCTGGGCCTGGGTGCTGTCCCTCAGCTCTTCAGCTCAAGGCTAGCGCTCTACCACTTGAGCCCAGCACCACTTCCCGGCTTTTTTCGTTTTGCTTATGTGGTGCTGAGGAATTGAACCCAGGGCCTCACGCATGCAAGGCAAGCGCTCTACCACTGAGCCAACTTCCCAGCCCGGAAAAAAAGTTTTAAAAGATTGCTTGAAAATGTTCCCATAAATCCATGTAGAAATATGAGTTCATAATGGTGAATGAATGAATTTTTGAAGACTTACCTAAAGACATCAAGTCTCAGCTGGGTGCTGCGGGTGGCTCACCCCTAGGCCTGTAATCCTAGCTACTCAGGAGACTGAGATCTGAGGATCACGGTTCAAAGCCAGCCTGGGCAGCAAAGTCCGTGAGACTTATCTCCAATAAACCACCACTGTGGCTGAAGTGGTAGAACACTAGCCTTGAACTGAAGACCTGAGGGACAGAACCTAGGCCCAGAGTTTAAGCCCCATTACTGACAAAACAAAAAGAAAATACAAAACAAAATACATCAAGTCTCACTCAAAGAAATAAACATGCTCATACGAAACGGTGCTTCTTTATCATCTTGACTGTTAATTATAGTTAATGTTGAAAGAAGGAACTCTTAGTATTGTAGATAACTCTTTCTAGAATTTGTTATATTAAACTTCCTCTGCTTTAGTATTTAAAAAGGAATTATACATGCCAGTATAATGCCAGTGTATACAGTAGCATACACCTGTAATCCTAGCACTCAGGAGGCTGAGGCAGAAGGATGCTAAGTTTGAGGCCAGATTAAGCTACATAGTGACTATGAGCCCAGCATAGGCAATGAAACAAGCTCCTGTCTTGCAAACAATGAAAAAAAATATAAAGTAGAATCATTGGGCTGGGAAGGTGGCTCAGTAGTAGCTAGTGATTACCTCATATGCATGAGGCCCTGGGCTCAATTCCTTAGCACCCCGTACACAGAAAAAGCCAGAAGTGGTGCTGTGGCTCACTTGATAGAGCACTAGACTTGAGCTGAAATGCTGAGGGACAGTGCCCAGGCCCAGAGTTCAAGCCCCATGAACGACCAAAAACAAAACAAAACAAAACCATAAAAATACCCTTTCTTTGAAACTTACCAGATCGATGTTTTGCATTACATCTTGAAATGAAGGATGAGTTCGAAACTGTTCAAAAAGATCTCGTTTGTAAAGCAGTGCGTACACCAAGTTTGGGTTGTGGTGAAGAGAATTTGTCAAGCAGGAATTGATGATTTCTAGCATCATTCGAATCACTTCTTCAATGACATTGAGGTCTTGAGCCTTATAAACAAAGTAAGCCCCAAAATAGTCAATGTTTTTTTTTTTCCTTCACACAGAGGAATAAAAATGCAAGTAACTGCTTACAATTATAACAGTATTGGAAAAATTAGGCAGGAAAGAATTCAAGTTTATTTGCCAAGAGGTGGATTTATCAGCTACTAAAGGGTTTGAGTTAAAACTGAACAAGTGTACAGGTAACTAGGAATTTCATATAATAAATGATGTATTAGCTAATCAAGAAGAATATTTAGAACCTATTCATCAATTCACTTAGCAGATTCTTATTTGTATTCTCAGCCTAAATTGTTAAACTTCCACAATGTAATGATGAGGTCTTACCAAAAATAAGTGTCCAGTTCCAAAATTTACTGATAAATATACTGTGGTTTTGCCACTGTTTCCTCAGTGTGAACAGTCTTTGAGAATTTGAATGTAAAATGGCTCTAAGACAACAAAATTTAAAGTAAGCAACTAGCAAGGTTTTCAATAAAAGACTGAGTGCAGCTCAAAGCTTCCAGCTGGGAACCTGGAGCCCAGTCTTAAGCCTCTCACTGGATTCTCTCCAGGGCTCTTCCCTGGGGAGCTGAGCTTCTAGTCCCTGCTGTCTCCTTCCAGCACGGGGCTCATCAGGCTCTCTGGCTCTCACTATTTACTCTGCTTTGGCGCCATCGAGAAACATCAATCTCAGCTTTGGGCCTGACTCTGTACTTTGATGTCTTACAATTTGCTATGGTTTATCTATTATGATTTTGGTGCAAAAAAGAGAGATCAGCCTTCAAATCTAGAACTGACAACATAATATCAACCTGAAGTTCTCTTAATTGTATTTTCATTCCATTTGATGTATGACTTATTTACTAGAGGAGAAAGAGTTTAGAATTTTCTCTCAGGTCATTTAAGAACAACTCACTGGGATAGTGTGACTACTTCAGAAATATAAATCCTAATCTGTCTTTCTTTTAAGTTATATTTTTTATTTTATTACCTTTAAGTAGTTGTACAAAGAAGTTACCATTCAACAAACCACTATATGAATACAATACATCTTGATGAATGTCATCCCTTTCATCATTTTCCTCCATCTCTTCCACCCCAAGCCCTCCCTTCAAGTTTCTTAATTTTGTAGAATATGCATTGAATATTATGACTATGCTATTCCCTGCTTACCTCCCTCTCCTTGACCCCACTCTTTTTTTTTTTTTAATTTTGCCATGATTGGGGCTTGAACTCAGGTCTTCATGCTCTTAGCTTTTTTTTTGCTAAAGGCTGGAGCTCTACCACTTGAATCATACTTTCACTTCTGGGTTTTGGTAGTTCATTGGAGGCAAAAGTCTCGTGGACTGGCTTCAAATTATACTCATCAGATCTCAGTCTCCTTAGTAGAGAGGATTATAGGTGCTTTAGATTTTACTGTGTATCAGTCTGACTAAAAAGTCCTTAAAAATTATATTACCTGTCTTATTTATTTATTTATTTGGTCTTGGGGCTTGAACTCAGGGCCTGGACGCTGTCCTTGAGCTCTTCTTCTCAAGGCTAATGCTCCACCACTTGGAGCTACTGCTCCACTTCCAGTTTTCTGGTGGTTAATTGGAGAGGATTCTCATGAACTTTCCTGTCTGGGCAGACTTTGAACCACAATCCTCAGATCTCAGCCTCCTGAGTAACTAGGATTACAGATGTGAGCCCGGCTACCTGTTTTAATGATCTTACTAGGTATTTTATGAAATTTCTGTTATACTGTTACTATGGATAAGTGCTAATGCTAACTTTTATACATTATAAACAGCTGCAGAAATATAAATTGAACAGCAAAGAAAATTCCCAATAATATAGGAAATAAAGATATTTAATATGTTATCAAATTTTATTGGACTGTCATGATAAAAGGCATTTTTGGTCTTTTAATGTTTCTAAACAATTAGGGAAACAAATGGGGAATAATATACAACTGAGAAGTTTAGAGGAAGTTTAACTTAAAGAGTAGCTGATTTTCTACCAATATCTATTTTAACATGTAATATTATAAATAATTTATGTTAGTACACTTTTAATACAAAGGCTGCATAAACACTCTTTTCATGAGATAAGGTCAGTTTCCTTCCTGGTTACACCCAGGGGTGAAATTCTAAATATTTATCAACTAGTAGGCCAGGCAGGCCTACTGGATATGGGATATATCAGCCTGCATCAGCTGATTTCCAATTACACTCTTCCTGTGAGGGCTCTGAAAGGGATTATTTCTTGAGAAATAAAGTTTCCTTGAAGCTATGTATCTATATTGATTGGTTTTATTATGTTCCAAAAACTGTACTAGGAATTTCTCTCTATATATAATTTTATTCAATTCAGTAATTCTTTGATTTAATACAGAGTAAGAAAGCTTAAAATCTGACTAAAATTTTTTTAAAAAATAGTTGTTTTTAATGTACTATGTGATTTTTTGGTTTCTTTTGTTATGTTCTCCTATGGTATATCCCTACTGCCATCGTATTTGATTTTGGTACCCTGCATTTTGTATATACATGTATCTAATTTGGGGAGGGGAAGGAGAATAACAAAATGCTGAAACAAGGACACAGGATGACCTGTTACAAGATACTATGTTGGAAATGAACCTTATAAGTTTGCGGGGGTTGCGGGGGGATGAGAGAGCTAGGGGAGGGAAGGGATAGTAAAGAGAAAAACAAAGGAGGGGGTAACAATGCCCAACAAGAAATGTACTCATTAACTTGCTGATTTAACTGTAATCTCTCTGTACAGCATCTTTGCAAGAAAACAAACAGCACCAACAAAAAAATCCAGCAGGTGCTGGTGGCTCACCTGTAATCCTAGCTACTCAGATAGGATGGAGGTTCAAAGCCAGCCTGGGCAGGAAAGTCTGTGAGAAACTCTTATCTCTAATTAACCACCAGAAAAACAGAAGTGGTGCTGTGGCTCAAGTAGTAGAGCACTAGCCCTGAGATGAAGAGCTGAGGGACAGCGCCCAGGCCTAGGGTTCAAGCTCCACAACTGATACACACACACATACATACACACACACACACACACACACACACACACACACACACACACACACACACACACACCATAAAAAAAAAATCACAAAGCCACATACAACTTACATTAGACACAAAAGTTACTCTCTTTAATGCTAGAATCCATCCCCTTCTTTAGAGTGCACATCAAGTGAACAGCTTCTTTTTTAAGAATTATTATTAACTAGTTGTATAAAAGAATTACAATTCCATAAATCAGGTTATAAATACAATGCTTCTTGGTCTATGCCACCCCTTCCTTCATGAAAGCAGAATATACAATTCTTTTACCTAAGTCAGTGATTCTCCGCTACTACTTTAATAATCCTTTAAGAAATAGCTAGGATTCTTACTGTTCATTGTTTTCTAGAAACCACATTCTATATGTCCCTTCATACCTGTTGGAAGATCAATTACAGCTTCCAGGCACCAACCAGATCATGAAATAATCATGATATATTATGTGATTTACTAAAAACAATGTACCAAATTTTTGGTTAACTCTAATTTCCAAGAGAAATTATCCCAATAAATGTAATTTGCAAGTTAAATTGAATCTTCAAATTGGCTTCAAATGCAGGTATATATTGGACATGGCAGTGTACCAATGAAATATTTTGTTTGTTTCTTTTTTTTTTTTAAAGCATTATCAGTTAAGTGAAGTAAACCAGGCCCAAAGACACATAGTTCCCATGGTTTCCCTTATTGCAATAACTAGTATAAGTCTAGGACAAGCAGAAAAGGTCAAAAGCTATGTACACATGACCATATAAGATGATGGTAAGTGAAATGAACCCCAAGATAGGGACACAAATGGTTATTTCTTTCTTGTTATTGTTTTTAACATATTTATAATGTACTATGTGATTTTTTTGTTGTTGTTTCTTTGGTATGTTCCTTCCCCATGGTATAACCTCTGTTTTCACTATATTTGATTCTGGTGCCCTCATCTTGTATATACATTTTTCTAATTTGGGAAGGGGAAGTGAAAAAACAAAATGCTTAAATAGGGATACAGGTTGATCCATTGTAACAATGAGTGTACAAGACACTATGTTGAAAATGAATTTTACAACTTCAGGGGGAGGGGGGATGGGCGGGGGGGGCTAAGGGGGGAGAAAAGGAGTTGGGGATGGGGAGTAGTTGTGGATGTGGGGAAGGAAGGGATGGTAGGGGAAAAACAAAGGAGGAGGTAACAATGCTCGATAGGAAATGTACTCATTACCTTACTCATGTAACTGTAATTCCTCTGTACAGTAGTTTTACAAGAAAAAATGTATTTTTTAAAAAAGAAAAAAACATTATCAGGCAATAATCATTACTTATAAAAAGATGAAAAGTTAGCATGAAATTGAAAAGCTTTCTCTCTCTCTCTCTCTCACTCACTCAATTTGTTACTAGTTCCAGGGTTTGAACTCAGATGTTACACTTCACTCAGCTTTCTTGCTCATGGCTGGTACTCTGTGACTAATGCCATACCTCCAAGCCAACATTTTTCTGGTTAACTGGAGATAATCTTGTAGACCTTTCTGTTTTAAGCTATCTCTCCCTCTTCTCTCCCCCCTCTCCCCCACAGTCCTGAGGCTTGAACTCAGGTCCTGGGCACTGTCACTGAGCTTCTTTTGCTCAATGCTAGAACTCTGCCCACTTAAGCACTTGAGCCATGGCTCAAGTTTCTGTTTATTTTTTCTGTTTATGTGGTACTGATGAATCGAACCCAGGGCTTCATACATGCTAGGCAGGCACTCTACCACTAAGCCATTCCAGCCCCACCCCACCCCCACTTTTTTTTTTTTTTTTGACCAGTCTTGAGGCTTGAACTCTGGGTATGGGCATTGTCCCTGAGCTTTTTTTGCTCAAGGCTACACTCTACCACTTGAGCCACAGAGTCACTTCCAGCTTTTTGTTTGTGTAGTACTGAGGAATTGAACGCAGGGCTTCATGCATGTTGGGCAAGCACTCTAC